GTAATCAACAGGAGGCAGCTCTACACAGACTGGACGTGAGACGAGCATTAGTGTTTTACTTGGACTGGACTAAACCTTTCTGAAAATCACCATGATTATTCCTCTCCACCACCAAAAGAGTTAGAGGCACAGCCATATCTAAGCAACGCCTTTCAAAATGGATTTTGCAGTGTATACCTTTATCTTATGAACTCCACAATAGACAACATCCTACCACAATCAGAGCACATTCCACACATTCATTATCCACCTTGATAGCCTTTCTCAATAATATCCCCATTGCTGAAATTTGCAAAGCAACCACATGGGCATCAAACACACGTTTGCCCATCACTATGCTATTACGCACGATGCCACAGCAGACATTTTCCTAGGATATGAGGTCCTATCATCGACAGTAAATGTTGCTCTGAAGCCCCAGCCTTCCAATTAGGGGCCCTACTTTCTAGTCACTTATAAGTGGAGCACCCACAGGGACATCACTCCAAGAAGAAGATAAGGTTACTTAACCTGTTCTTCAAGGTTCTTCGAGATGTGTGTCCCTGTGGGTGTTTCATTACTTGCCCTCCTCCTCTCTGCTTTGGAGCCAAAAAAATATACGCTCTGTGTCAGAGAAGGAAGTGGGGGTGGTCAGACCGCACAGCGCTATAAATATGTCCTGCTCATAGTGTGAGGGGGTGTGTAAGCGCATGTGCGGTCCGATGGGCACTGCTGATGAAGATCTCCGAACCCAGGAGCAGGGGCTGCTGCCACACCTACAAGTGGGGAACTCATTGGGACACACATCTTGAAGAACCTCAGTTACTACACAGGGTGAGTAACATTCTCATTTGATGGATTTTCTTTGGCTAGAAGTTGGGGTGGAAGAGCAAGTGCTCCAGGGTTGATGTATGTAATTTATGTAATTATTAATCTATTTTTTAAAAAGAAGTGACTGAATAAATTACATCATTTAAAAGTGTATGGATAAAACTTTATATCACTGATATTTTCTGGAGAGAAAAACTAGCAGTGACAACATATTTTTGGGTGTAGCCTATTTAATTTTTAATAGATTAAGAGGCAGATTGTGCTATTAATGCACAGATGCATATGGTGGGCAGTCCAGAGAAGCATTGTACTACTAGGAGCCCAGAGAGGCATTGTTCAGGTACTCCCAGAGCTCCTCAGTGCACGCTGGGAGTACACCCTCATGCCACACCTCAACAGGGTGCAGAGTGCACTCCCCTTTGTGGCTGTCTAGCTCTGATAGTTGGTATGAAGGGAGGATGGGCCATATCCCTTCCTCGTCCCCTTTCCTTTTGGAGTGGTTTGCACCTCATGGAACAATAGAAGGATCGTTCCTGTCCTTCCCTCCCCCTACATATCTGTGCAGAGGCAAGCGATGGTCTGTCCCCTAGATACCAGATTCCTCTCAGCTATATGGGTGTGACTCCTTTTCAATGGAATGAAGGTTGCACTGGTCTAACTAAGGGCCTAATCCAAATCCCTTTGAGGTGAATGGAAAGACTCCCATGGACTTCAATGAACTTTGGATCAGAGAAGTGTTCAGTTACTGAGTATTCAGCCCTGAGTATTCAGTTACTCATAATATGTTGCTCTTTCATACTGCAAATAAAATTAATGTGTTGGTTAATTTGTACAGAATCTGATTTTTACAGAAATTCCTAAAATATCTTCCAAAAACGTTTGTATTGGTTTGGGGCTACACTGACTTGTGCACAACTCACTTTCTTATTTAATACAAACAAACAAAACAAGAAGTTTCACTTAAATTTACCACACATTCCTCTTTCAGTCCAGAAAAGCATGATCAAAGAATCAACAGCTACATTGAAAACATGTGGCTGTGTAAAGGTTGGAGACTTATGAAATATAAATTGACAGGAGTGGAGCTATTTGACACTAACAGTCAGCTTCTAAGATGTTTTACTAGAGTATTGCTATTAGAGCATTTTAAAGAATATTCTCCTATCTCTACTTTTAATAAACAAATTAATTTTTTTCAGAATGACTGGAATAAATATTACACTGGCTGAATCAGTGGATCAAAGACATACTGAGCCATGTCCTGCACTGCTCATTCTGGCAAAACTCTCACTGATTGTAATTGAAGTTTTGTCTGAGTGATGAGTATAGAATCAAGCCAGTTGTATTGCTTTAAAATACTTTTAAAGTGCTTTTTGTGACGCCTGAATCAGTATTTCCTCAGAGTAAAATGCTTGATTGGACATTCACTTTTCTCTCTGCTCTGCTTTTATTTTAATCATATGTGATAGCCTTAAAGGCATCTCTGCTTGTGTTATAAGGTTGTCTCATAGACTACTCTCGTTCTGGATTATATGGATCTGCCATACGAAGCAAAGGTGAATGGATCAATACTGGATGAACTATGAGATACTTCCTACTTCTCATTAGCAGACTCCCCTGTTGCAGCCTGCAAATAGAGATATCCTTAGAGCATCATAATCACTTATTACTAAGCAGTAAAATAAAAAAATCGAAATTAATTAAATAGCAAAATTGAAGTTATTTTTAATTAATATTCCCCCCCTATATCATTCTAAAATGTCACAGTCCAGCATTTAAAATGAAACTGCCTAAAAGCAGTTAGTTAGTTTAACCTTATCTGACAATTCCTATATGCAGAACAGTTAGTTTTGGAATTTTCAACCAGTCTAGTGATCATCCCTGTCAACCCTGTATCATGCAGAAAGACCATGGGGATTATACGAATGATCTATGATTTAGGAATAATGAAATCATTACTGCTGTGATGCAAGAAAATGGACTGGAGGGCCCATTAATACTCAAGTGATGCTATGGAATTCCTGCAATCACCGTGGGAATTTTGCGTAGCAGTAAATGTCAGGATCACACCCTGTGTTTTTAACATAGATGTTGCCAGATAGAAATCAATCTGAAATTAAAATTTGCTTCTATATGTACAATGTTTCCTCTAATTTTTTCCACCCATGGGCGGAATGAATTTTTTTATGTGCACCGATATCAAGGTAATGTGTGGATGTGCGCCACCAGTAGAAACAAAAAATCTAGATATGATATATATTTTTAAAAAGTTACCATAGGGATAATTACTCCAGCCACGACAGGTTAGGCATTTTAGAACTCACTACTCAAAGAATTAAATTTAAGCATAAGAGAGAAATAAAAATTATGAAATGCCTAGACTAATCAAAAAATAAAATAGCACTCTGAAAGAATAAAATTACAGAGAATATATGTGCATTGCAGGAAGTATCAAGAAGTAACAACAACAACAATAATACAAGTATGTGTTGAGAGGTGAGTGTGAAAGAATGTGTGTATGTGTGTGAGACACAGAAAAAGTGTGTATGTGTGTGTGTGTGAGAGAGAGACACACACTGTGTGTGTGTGAGAGAGAGAGAGAGTCACACACACGCATCTCTCCCCTCCGCAGCCCTGGCCGGGGGAGAGGCGCATCTCTCATCCCCGCCACAGCCCCGGCCACAGCTGGGGCCAGGGAAGAGAGGCGCCTTTTCCGTCCCCGCCGCAACCCCGGCTGGGGGAGAGAGGCATCTCTCCCCCCATCGCTCTGCACACCCTAAGCTCCCCCAACCCACCATCACCTCACCCCACTGCCCTCACCCTCCACATTCTCCCCGCTCACTTGTGTGCGCACCTGTGTCGCTTCTGCGTGCCCCTTGATGGCCTTGTGTGTGGTCGCGCAGGTGCACACCTGAGAGGAAACACAGTGTATGTAGATTGTTGAATCTGGAGTGATCAGAGGTGGGTGTATTACATTTCAGGACCTTGGATTGTTATTGGACACTTATCAACATTTCTGAATAGAGCTGATCGTGTTTGTCCACCAAACATTTTTCTTCACACTGTGACAATTGAATCTCATAAATTAGATGGAAAAGACTTACTAGGTTATCTTGCATGTCTTCTACCAATGTTGGATTGTTTCTTATAGTTTGTCCTCAAGTGTTTTGTCTGGTATCATATAAAATGTCTCAGGTAATGGGGTTGCCAATACTTCCCTTAGAAGATTGTTCTGGAGTTTTACAATGCATTGTTAAGAAATATTTTCTGATGTCCTAAGTTTTCCCTTGCTAAATTTCATCCTATTACGTCTAGTTATACCTCTTTGGTCAACCCAAAACAATTCCTCTGCATGCTTCATGCTTCAAATACAATACAGTTAGCATCCTCTGTTTTATTATTGTTTAATTATTATTATTATTTATTTGTATGCTCCTAGGAGCCCCAGCCATGGATCAGGGCTCATTGTACTAGGCATTGCACAAACACAGAACAAAGAGACAATCTATGCCCTGAAGAATTTACAATCTCAGCAAATGATTTAATTTATTTATTTTTTAATTTGTTAAATTTATACAATACACCTACCTTTACCTTAATCTATTCAAATGTTATAAAAAAAATTCTAAAAAGCAAAATATGACTATTTTACTAATTCTTTTCATAACACTAGATTTTTTCCTAATCTCAGGCTTTTAATAACTTTAATAATTTGTGCTGCTCCTAATTCCCTCCAGTTTGTTACCATCTTTCTGATATTGATGTGTGCGAAACTATGTGTAATCTTACTAGGGCTGTATAGAGAAGGACTACCATATATCTAATCTGCTTGTGATGGGATGCCTCTTTGGATACAGCTCATAATTGATTTGGGTTCTGATTTCCTTCCACCGTATTGCATTGCAAGCTCTAATGTAATTTGCTGTCCCTTACTACTCCTAGGCTTTTTAAAGGCATTATGTGTCTGGTTTTCCATTGCCTTGCATCTTCTATACTTACACCTGTGCAAAGTGGGTGTAAAATACTACTATTCTGATTTGGACTCATTTTTTCACAGGTCTAACTGGTTACACAAGGTTTAAGGCAATGGAGAATCAGACCCTATTTCTTTTCAGTTATTTTCCTTCCATTTAACAACCTGTTCAACAAAATGTTTGAGCAATAATAATCAAGGTATTTCTTCTCTTTAGAATTGGAAACAAGAAGATTAAGAAGACCAGACACAAATGTAGTTCTGGTGTTTGTCCTGATAACTGGAGTTATTGTTTGTGTTGGTGTGATCTTTGCATTAATCTTCATAATTCTTCACTGGTAGGTAGACAGCGTACAAATGTGATTTTTGTGTTCTTTGATCAGAGTATAGTACTACTAACTGCAAACCTGACACTCAGATGAGATAATTTAATTTTTCTACACTGGGATATTTATGTTGCTATTGGTCAGTATATCTGACAGCTTCTCTTTCTACTAGAGTAGCTTCAAAAGAAGTAGTCTGCAAAGCAGTACCATAGATTATTGATCGAAAGGGACATGATATAGTATATTCTGTGTAAGGGAATGTAAATCTACTTAAATTTACATTTTTGTTCAATTGTTATTTCCATATCAGGGCAGCTGTAAAAGCATTCTGGGCATCAAAAGTTGGTAAGAGCTCCAAAGAAGAACAATCAAGCGCTCAAGGTTCAATGAGAACCATAGAAGAAGCACCAGGATCAGGATCTGTATTTGCATCAGGATCAAGATTAGCGTCAGGATCAAGATTAGCGTCAGGATCAAGATTAGCATCAGGAGCTGGATTAGCCTCAGCAACCGTGTCAGTACCAACACCAACACCAACAGCATCACATTTAGATACTACTGGACAAGAACAGGTGTCTTTCCATGAATGGGACAATGAAGAAGAGAATTAGAAAGAAAAATAAGGATAGACTATATTAAAAGATTATCTAAAAAGAGATTATAATAAAGCATGTTTAAAATACTCACATTACTAGTTTTAAGATTTTTTTTAACATACATTGGATATATAGAGCTGAACTTTAAAGATGGTGTGGTAAAAATACTAGGCCCTGCTGCCCTGCACCAAAGGGCTGCGCTATTGACGCTGGCCGCTAGGCCACACTGTCCTGTATTGAAAGGCAGCACTATTAACTCTAGCCGCTAGGCCACACTGCCCTGGGCACCAGGGCTATTAACTTTTCGCTGGTCCTTAGACTCCTGGGTGGAGAGATCAGAGACGGACAAGTGGACTTACTGGTGGTGTCCACATACCCCCGCCATCCTCCTTTCGGGCCAGGGTGTGCATACACTACCACAGGGGCCCTTTAAAAATTTGTCCCCCAAATAATTAAAAATTAAAATAAATGTTATGACCAAATTCCTTGGATAAGTGAAATCTCTGAAAAGGGGCCCTAGGAAATAACAGTTTTGGTATTTTACATCATAGTGACTTTTTAAAAAAAAATTTAAAGACTCATTTCAGATACTCAAGAATGGACAAAATTGGTTCTCAATAAACAAACAATATATTGTTTAAAAACAGAAGCACAAGAAGAGTATATACAGAACATAGCATTTACAAACTACTGGACAAATCTGCATATATGAGCTACATAGCCATATAGGTGCAGATCCAGGAAATTTACACTCAACTGTCGTTATGTTTTGATAGCTGAATTAATTCAAAGCACCAAACCAAAGTTTTGCTTTCTGCAGGATGTATGCACAATATTTGCATTTCCTCCTATTAGCCATATGTAATGGAAATATTAATGTTAAATTCACAATAGCCTCAAGTCAGGAAAGCATCTATATTCAGGACCGCTTAAGCATGTGTGTAAGTCCTACTGAAGTCAATGGGATTTAAGCATATTGGGCTCTTCTGTGGGTATGATTCCCAGCTTTAGGAGACACACTTGCACAAGCTCCCATTGAGTGAACATACTAAAAATAGAGAGTAGACACAGCAGGATGAGCACTGGGAGGGTCTAGCCAGCCCAAGGGCATTCCCATCCAAGAGTATATATATAGGACAGCTAGTTCCTCCAACCGCTCATGTTGCTGTGGCTACCTCGTGTTTTTAGCATGCTAGCTTGATGAAAGCCAGCACGAATATGTCTCCTGGAGCTGGGAATCATACCCGCAGTTCGAAATGTAGACATGCCCTAGCAGGAGAAGCACAGAGCTCAGCCCTCCTGATTCTGAGCTCCCTGGGGGGCCAGAGCAGCTCTCAGAGTAGTTTAGACAGATCTGGGCCTGTCTAAGGGTACGTCTACACTGCAAATGAAGGAGTCATTGCAGAACAGGCAGATGTACCCACTCTAGCTTTAATCTAGCTAGCTTGGGTAATAGCTGAGAAGATGTGGCATGGACCCCAGCGTGGGCAGCCACCCAAGTATGCCCCCAGGGTTCCTTGTGGGTTTGTTTTGGGGTGGCCAGCCCAGGCTGAAACCTATTCCATCATGTCCTCACTGCCAGTTACTCACATGAGGTGGTCCTCAGAGGACAGCCATAGCTGTCAACCTCAGCTCCTGCACTGGGTGAATTTTCCCGTAGCTGGATCCAGGGCTTTTAGAGCCCCTTTACAATGCTGTTACCCAGCATAAAGGGGCAGGAACAGGGGTGAGAATCTCACCTACATTTAAAGTTAAACATCTACTTAAGTTCTGTGAAGTGATTTCCTGAATGGGGGCCAAATTGTTTATGTCATCTTCATTATCTCATTTACCTTGCATTATCTAGATTTGATTAATCACCTTGCTATTTTTGTTTTAATCTGACAGGATTTAAAATCTTTTCTTTTCTTTTCTTTTCTTTTCTTTTCTTTTCTTTTCTAGGATGATCCTTTTGGAATTCATAACTCGTCTGTATGTGATCCACCATCTGTCTCAGAAAATTTAGGATACATTTATATAGTTATTTAGGTCTTGATGTATGTTTCATTTACGTCTGATCTAATACTATATATGATGGAAATCAGTTTTTCTTTGACAGCTTTACTGGTCCTTGTTGGAAATGAATTTTTTATGTTGAATCGCAAAGATTTTCATTATATTTTATCACTTTATTTAGTCAAACACATTTAACAAAACACTAGGCACTCAAAGCTTTTTCTCCGGTGTTATGCATAGTGGATAAGTTAGCAGCATAAATAAAGGTCATTTTTTAACCAGATGCTCCATAAAATGAAATTAAAAAAACATGAGTTGAAAACAGATTTAGTTCTCTATGATTAGCAGTGATATTTTCAGCAGTGTTCTGAAGGTACAGGAGGCAAATCATTTGATTTGTATATCAGCTAAATGTTAAGTCAAATACAAAGTAGTTTATGCTGGCTATGCAATTATTTTTTTAGAAATAGTAGAAAGCTTGAGTTCTGCAATTTACGTATTTATTTAAAATATATGGACTATTTTTCAGTGGTACTGAGCACCCTCAGCTTCCGCTCACTTCATTATGGGCAACTCTTTAAATTGGGCCAATTCCGTGCACTTGTGTTTCACTACTAAGTTTCACATTAGATGTCTAGAAATAATTTTGAGTGAATAATTGGATCAGGGTGCACAGACTGGAAAATTCCTTATAGTCGTTCAGCATAACACTACTTTAGCAGGAGATTGTGTTTATGTGCTGTGAAAAGATAGCTGGAAAAATGCATGCATGCCTGAAGCAATTAGAATCAAAATTCAACTCATTTGTGAGAAACTGATTATTGGAAATTCTTAAGCAATCTGTGTTTTGTACTGTATCTACCCTAAAGATGTGGAACCGACCACAGCTCAGACTAGGCAATCTAATGACCATTTTGAAGAGAGCTGGGCTGTAACCAATGAATTCTTAAGGGTAGATTGCAAACTTTTTGCAGGACTGACAGTGTCTTATTACATATTTGCACAAAGGGGCCCCGATCCAGTCTGGGGCTTCTGGATGTTAAATATTAACATCTACTCACTGTACACAAGAAACAATTAAGCCCTGGAGCTAAAACTACACTGTACTATACATGGAAAGTTAACAATCTTATTATATGCAGGGCTGGTAGTACTGGCTGCTGTTTAGGGAGCCCAACACTTTCCATTGTAAGCCCCTGCTTTCAGGTTCTTATAACATTGCTAAACTTTGACTGTTGGAGCTGAAGTTTTCTATGCTGGCTGTCTGCCTTGGCTGAATTTTTGGGAAAAATGTTAGCCAAATGCTTCAACCATTTCCGAGAATGAAGCTAGGGAAAATATCTAGTTTTGCCCACATTAAAAAATTCTTGAGATCTTTTTGTTGAACAGCTGTAGCACCCCCATGCTTTGGATCAGGAACTTGAAATTAGGCCAGGTATGGCATTTGTGAAAAGGATGTGTCTTTTGCCATTCCGATGAAAATCCCACCCAAACAAAATCATAGTTCACACATGCTCAGTAGAGATTTACTAGAATTTAACTAAAATCGCTGAAGATTCTGTCCTCACTGAACATGCTTGAACCTCTCACAAATCTTAGTGCTGATCAGAGTGTACATGCTCCATCCCCACAGAACTACTGATCATGCTCCATGCCCCCACCGCTCCAAGTGCTGCTGACCAGACTATGCATGCACCTTCCCCTTTTAGCTCCTATGTGACTGGACTGAACATGTGCCATCCCGACTGCAACTGAGCATGCTCCAGCCCAGTGCTCTGGGGGCTCAGAAACATTAACGCTGAAGTCTCTGGACTGGGATGGGGCCAGGCATTGGAACTGAGAGAACGGAGCCTGTCTCTTTACTGATCCCCCCTGCTGACACCCAGGCAGTGTGGAGGAGGAAGCTGCCTGATTCAAATGCAGAAAAAACAAAACACAGATGAGGAGGAGGGAAAGAAGTAGATTGGGATGAGGAGTCTGATGAAATTGGGACTGGTGGGAGTAAGAGGAGAGACACCGTGACAGGGAGTTAAAGTGAGAGAGACTGGGAATGGTTGATCAAGGAGACTGGGACTGGGAGGAGGAGAGTGGGACTGGCTGGGCAAGAAAACTGGGAGTTGTGGTGTGGAGGGCAGTCTGAGACTAGCTGGATGGGAAGGCTCAGAGTGGGAGCCATAGGGTGGGGGGAGAGGCTGGAAATGTGAGGGACAGGAGGCTGGGACAGGGAGCTGGGGCAGAGCGGAAAGGCTGGGAGTGATTGAGCAAGGAGACTGGATGGTGGATGGTGGTGATGAGATTGGGATCTCTGAGGGAAATGGGGGGGAGTGACTGGGAAGGGGGAGGATCATTGTGATTGGATGAGGGGCTGGAGGGAGGGGGAAGACTAGGATTGGTTGGTAAAGGAAAAGACTAGGCACAAGTAGGGGAGGAGAGCGAGATCTGACAAGGATCTGGAGTACAGGGGGCAAACTGTGACTGGCTGAGCAAAGAGACTGGGACAAGGAGACTGAGAATGGATGAGGAGCGCAGGAAGTTAAAGTGGGAGCTGGGATGGGGTTGGGGAGAGACAAGGAGGCAGTAGGGGGAAACAGGGACTGGCTGGGCAAGAAGCCTGGGACAAGGAGTTGGGGTAGTGGTGGGGAAGTGAGACTATCTGGGAAAGTAGCATAGGAACAAGGAGAGACTGGGAGTCACATTGGAGGGAAATTGACCAGTGAACCCGAGGGAGGAGACGATGACTGACTGGGCGAGGAGACTGGGACTGGGATGAAAAACCTGAGGACTAGATGCTGGGGCTGGGTAGGTAAGGAGATTGGGATTGTAGAAGAGCTAGGCCTGGACAGGGAGAGTTCAGAAGGCATGGGGCAAAAGGGATCAAGCTTAGGGGTAATGGGCAAGAGTCTGTGCTCATTAGAGTGCCTTCCCCTCCAGAGTCTAGAATGGAACCCAAGATTCCCGAGTCTCTTCTTTCCTCTGCTGTCCACAAATATCTGTGAAGCTCACTAATAAAATGAGAGTCTTACTCTTCTAATGCTGGTCCACATAGAGGTGACAACCTACTATTGCTAATTCTGTTAGCTCAAATGGCAGAGGTCTGCATGGTAGCTCTCAAGGTACCAATCCTGCTGATGATCCATGCGGATATCAACATGATGCCACATGATGGAATTTCTGTTTTTTCAGTTTAAAAACCTATTAAAAACCTAGGAAATTATGCATAAAACTATGTTAAAATACATTATGAAGGTAAAAAAGTCAAGCATTCAAAAGTTAG